GGGGCTCAATCAGACCGGCCTCGACTCTGGCGGCTCTGGATCGTTAAGCCAAGGGCATCCAACTGGCTCAGAGGGGGCCCGGTCATACCAGCCAACACATGCCGATCAGACCGGCTTGGGTCTAGCGGTCAGACAATGCAAATGATCTAATATGGCATTTTAATAAACTCTTTGTTTAGGTCATAACCCCTCTTGATAGTATGTCAAAACTATAAATAAGTCTAGACAAAATTTGATCGTCCAACACCTCGATCAAATAAAATAAAACCATTAGATTTACCATCTTCGTCGCTCTGCGTCATCAATTTTAATCATCGGTGATCATCTTGTTAACGGTGAAATTTGATAAGCCCCGAAGTCATCATCGGCTTAGAGTCAGTATCGTTTTTAGAGTCCTAGAATCGGCCGATGGGAATTATCAAGTCGCCAATAGTCGGATTGTTGCTATATTTGGTTAGGGAAATTAATTCATTAAAGGAAGCTTATTCAGAAGTGACCGAGTTCAAGGAGGATGCGGCATGACAGTTTATCTATTAATTAGGAAGAGTATGTTAGTTTCCTTTTATGTTTAGGAAAGTGTGTTTAATGTTCGATAAGGACTTTATATTTTCCTTTTATCTTTAGAAAATTTCTTTCTTGTCCAAGAAGTACTCGTATCTATCCATGGGTATAAATATGTACACACGGGGTTATTGTAAACTATCTCAACGATCAATACAACTACTCTCAGCACATCGCCACCCGAGGTTTTTTATTTATCATCCGATCGAACATGGCACCTAACGTGGGGCTGCATCGGCTTTCAATCTCTGGCGAAGTGGTTGTTGGCAACTTTTTAATCTGACAATCAAGCCGTTGACTGATTTTCAGAGTGGTGGATATCTTAGCTAATCTAATCTGGTAAAGCGATTTAGCCAATACTGGCATAAACCCTAAAACGAATATTAGCCGATACAAGTAAACTGAGATACCAAACTAGATTAACTAAGATATATGTGTCGACGTTTGATGTCGCGATTCCAGTATTTGCATAGTATGGGGATTGTTGGTACTAGGATATATGCGAGATTGAGGTAAAAGAGATGGAGGCGAGGATTTTTATGCAAGGTTCGGGCCCCTGAATTGTCAGATAATAACCCTACATCCTGTTGGCCGAAGCCGGTGTTGCTCTTTATTCATCTGGATCACACAAGTACAATATTTGGGATAGCCTATCTAACTATTGTCGACTTGGCGGTCTGAAGTTCTGACTCGTAGTCGACAACAGGGTAGCCTTCCTCCTCGAATCCGCATCCGGCGAGATCAGAGACAGCGCTATTGTTGACGGTTGTTATCGATCAGTTTCGACCATCAATATTACTAAAACAGGAGAGAACTAGTGATGCTTGCAATGCATAAATATGTTAGAACAATAATATTCCACTAGTATTAGGTCTACTAACCTTTTTGCAGAGAATGACAATAAAGTGAAGGAGAATCGACATCAACACCAACAATAAATCAATCGGACAATGTCGAGGACCAGACTTATGTATGAATGGGCCAAGAACTCAGAATCGACATGATGAATTGGGCCCAAAATTCACAAGTCTGCGGAGTGGAGCAATAGAGGAGGCCACCAGCCAAAATTGGGCTGGATTGGGCCAGCCCCAGGTTCGGCCGAACCAATCCTAGCGCCATTGGATCCAGGTTTTGGCATGGACGTCCAGGATTGCATCCCAATAACGGTTGGAGGGCACTTCGGACAATTCCCCTTCCATAACCGTCATACCTACCTTCTATATAAGGAGCTCACTCTCTTCACTTCAACACACACCTCAAGCAAGAGCTCTCTCATTCCTCTCAAGTTTTGTTTAGTAGTATCTAGCTGGTGGAATAGAATTAGAATAGGAATCAGGAGTCCGGAAGTCTTCAGAAGAGTTCGGGTATGGCTAGTAGCTTTCCTTTCCTCTTATGTAAGCTTTGTACTTTTATTAGAATACTCTTTTATATACATTTATGGTATTGAAATACTTTCCGAGTATATGAGTACCAACTTTACATTATGTTCTTGTTATACTGAATATACGGCTAGCTTATCTGGGAGATGCTTTGGTGCGGGTATAGTGTTTGCATATGCAATTAATCTATGTCATGACGATGATATTAGAGTAGTATCTGGTAGTTTAGGCGTGGTATCTAGATTATGGGATATCATTATTTGGGGTTATATATTGCGGATGAGAGGTGGGCCGCTGATGGTGACAGCTCAGTACGGGTATTCCTCCGCGCCTATATATAATCCTAAGTTAATTTCCTGGGGAGGGTATTCCTCCGTATTTAGCCCCGGTTGGATGGTCATGACGGGCTGTCGTAAGGAACTCGGCAGTCAGGGGTGGCTTCTCGAAGTACCAGGAGGGCATCAGATAGAGGGTATTAGCTAGTATATTAGTTAACTAGAATGTATGTATACTATGTATATTAGAAGTATAGGAATAGATTATTCTCTTTCTCTTTTCTTTCCACCTAGCTTAGATTATTTATTATGAGGATGAGTAGAAATGCTTGTGTGTCACTCTACCCTTGGATTATCATAACCCCTGCTTAGAATATGATTATCACAAGTAATATATAAATTATTAGTTGAGTTTTCTCTACATGATCTTCCCACGGGATAAAATAAATACGATACCCTTGGAATACTCTCGGGTGAAATGCTACAATGGTATATCCGTGTGCTTGCGGATGAACTCTGTAACCATAATATACCAGAAGTATTTCTGCGCCATTGCTGGGAATTATATTTCTAGTAATGTCGTTAAGAAATACCAACAGCTATATCTCTCCTAACGGTATCCATAGGCACCATAGGGGACTAGCCATGCCTATCTCTGAAGTCGATATCCGGCGTCTTGTCTTGGCGTATGTTGGCTTGTATGTTGATCTTGTGTCTTGATCTATTGTTCCGTGTCCTCTCTCCTCCCAGAGGGCCTTGTATTTATACCTATAGGTGTCCCCTTGTCCAAGTAGAACTAGGGAAACCAATATGGATACAATCCGAGTGGTCCTTATCATTTCCATGTAGAACTCTGGTTGTCTTTCCTTATCCGGAACTCCTCCTATATCCGAAGGTTGTTTCCGTACAGGACATGATATGTGGTGAATCCTGCCGAGATTTAGTCGACTACTTATTAGGTATGTGATATCCATAACCCTGACAATATGATAGATATGTAGGAAAATTTATCAACCAAACCAGAGCGATCGAAGAGGTCGAAGCGATGCAGTTTTCAACAACACTAATGTAGCCGATACAATTACCAGGGCCCGCGGAACGTAGGACTTACCCCTTCGCTAGAGATTGAAAGCTGATGCAGCCCCGCGTCAAGTGCCAAGTTCTGCCAAATGATAAGTAAAAACTTGGCAAAGAGGGTGGCGATGCGCCGAGAGTAGTTGTATTGATCGTTGAGATAGTTTACAATAACCCCGTGTGTACATATTTATACCCATGGGTAGATACGAGTACTTCTTGGACAAGAAAGAAACTTTTCTAAAGATAAAAGGAAAATATAAAGTCCTTATCAGACACTAAACACACTTTTCTAAAGATAAAAGGAAACTACTAAATCATGCCTAATTAATAGATAGAATTACGCCGCCATGTCGCATCCTCCTTGAACTCGGTCACTTTTGGATAAGCTTCCTTTATTCAGATAATTTCCTTAATCAAATCTAGTAAGAATCCGACTATTGGTGACTTGACAATTCCCATCGGCCAATTCCAGGACTCTGAAGCCGATCCTGACTCTAGGCCGATGATGACTTCGAGGCTTACCAAATTTCAAATTTCACTGTTAACAACTATACAACCTAAAATGATTATCTTCTTGGGAGATGATCGTCTTGGGACAGCGAGAGTAGGATTCAACACCAAGTTTCTCCTTGGTTTTCCAACTGGTTTTTGAGTAATGGGGGAGTGAAGCTTCATAGTAAACCCATCATCCTGTCGTGTGTAGAAGCCCTTTTCAAGGAGGATCTAAAAACCGGATTCTTGGTGTCCAAACTTAGGCTGAGTTCGTTGGTTAAGTTTTCAACACATATCTCGTTTTTCGCGCTCACGTTTCCCAAATTACTAAATGGTGCGTTTTTTATAAATTATATACAAAAGTTGTTTTAAAAAACATATTAATTCATTTGCAAAAAACTAATACTTAAATAATCATGCGCGCGCTAATGAGTTGCTTTGTTTTGCGTGCTTAGAGGATTAGTTCCCAACACACAATACCCAACACAGCCTTAGAGCCTGTTTAGGGGAGCTTCTAGCAGAAACAGCTTCTCACAAAATCTCCACCTCCCCAAACAGATTGTCACTCTGATTCTAAGCTTCTCACAAAATCTCCACCACCCCCAAACAGTCTAGATTGTCACTCTGATTCTGATAAAATGTAGTTCTAGAAAATAAACTAGAACCCAGAAGCTGGAAAACCCAGCTTTCATATTCTAAGAAGCTGGCTACTAACGAACATATTCTTAAAATCTTAAGCTCCCCAAACATGGATTTATTGGATCCAGGAAAATAAAAAAAATCCCACGCTAGCCTTACCTAGAAAAGATTTTTTATTTTTTAACCATTTTAATTTTTTATTTAAAAATAAACCCTTTCAAAACTTATTTTCAAAATCTGAGCCTTTACACACCATACTACATCAGCGAGAATGGTGTGCCAAATAACGTTGTCACACTAGCGAGATCAACATGGCCAAGTAATGCTGTCACATCAATAAGACCTATATGACAATATTGTTTTGCTATGACAGTTCAGCTGGCGTGACCAAAAGATTTAGATTTTGAAAATAAGTTTTGGAAATGTTTATTTTTAAAATTTAAAAGGTTTAAAGAATAAAAATAATTCCCTAGAAAATAGGTTACCGAAGAGAAAAAAAAAAACCTGTACCAAGGGCGGATGACGCTGTCTTCTGATCATGACAGTGCTCAAGCCAAACACACAAAAAAAAAAGTTGTGACACGTAAAAGGCTGTTCACTAAAGAAAAATATAATACATCATACAAGCACTCACAGGAACTGGACAAGCAGACTACTTTGGCAACATTCACGCTACGGCGATGTTAAACAGTCTCAAACACCACTAGATCAAATCTTCAGCAATGGACTCAACTGCCATTCGAGGGTCAGTGCTTTAACTAAAAACAGTCAAAATTTCCTTCTGAAAATGACATTCAGACAGGACTACAATATTGCTCTCAAGGCAAAGATAATAACTATTACAGTTTACATCTAGCTTGTCTACTTCATTCTGCCTTGGTATGTACACCACAGCACAACTAAGCAAAATTTTCTTGATTGCAGAGTAAGTTATACCGCACTTTATCCATTCTTTGAAGTAGGCAGCTAGTATTTCATCTGCATGGAAGTGAAACAAACAATTGAGGCATTTAAAAGGATAGCCACAATTTATCGGAAGTGTTAAAAAAAAAAACTAATCTCAAGCTAGCCTTGACAATGACAAGTCTAAAATGTCAAATAACAAAAATGTGAGTTGCTTCAAGTTGCCCTTCTCTAGCATTATGCTTAACAGAAACTTTCTACAGTACTAGTATCTTGAGTGGCATAGTTATAGTATCATTTTTTTCACCCCAGTTACAGCCACTGAAATGTATCCGCTCAGTTTAGTTAGATCAATGATCCTGTCATAAAAGGATTATTACCCTAGCACGTTGAGCTGTTGTCTCAAACCTCTACCTGCATCATGCTGTCGTCTTTATCAAGTAGAAGTGAGGGACTGAAATCACACAGTAGAGTGGAATGTATAGAGAAGTGTTTGCATTGAGATTGTGAGAATAGTTGACGTGTATGTCTGGAGTAATTGCATGGCTAGCAGTGAATACAGTTTATAAACTTATAGGTTCTGGCATTTTTTGTTGTGCCCAATATTTAATTTGATGATTGCATCTAATTCCAATGGCTAGCTTGTGCAGGTAAAGATGTAAGCACAAGTAACTAAGATGAAGGGCCAGGAAAAATCTAAATAAAAGAAGGAAAGAAATCTTGAGGAAGGAATGAAGGATTCCACTCTTGGAGCACTGAAGTTGCAGGAGAGGTTTGAAAGCAATACAATGTAGACTTGAGACACAAAAGGTGGGTTGTAGGCTCGGAGGAAATATGCACTAGATGAGCAGCACCAAACATGGGAAAAAGATCCTCTGTGGAGTTTCAAGGTAGAGTTAGAAGCAAAACCAAGAAATGTAGCAGAAATAAATGCAAGAAAGTAGCAGGAACCAAGGAAGGATATGGACTTATTTGGTTGGGGACCTGTGAAATGTGCGGACCCTGATTAAAAGAAGTCTGGAAATACAGAAGAGTTTGATAATTTCTGCCAAACAAAGGGGCAACATTATGCTACTACTGTATGTATGCCCTTGGTTAGTACCATACACACAGTGTTCCATGAATATTAAGTTTAGTTATCATGTTTGGTTATCATAATTATATTTTTAATGTTTTAGCTCAGTTCAGCTGGAATTCAGTTATTGGTAGCATGTGGGTACTTTGCGGTTTGTGCAGAACATGGTTCTATTTTCTATTATTACCGGCACCTTATTGTTACTGTTATAGTATTGTAATGTGACCAGCTATGGGGTTATCAAGATTTGCTATCCCATTAATTGCTTTATTTCGGGGAGATTTCTACTCAAATTTAGTAGCAACATTTTTAATTTTAGGTGTTGAGGAATAGTTTAAGGACTCAGCTCAATGCTAATCTAGGGTGCTATATGGGTATTCTTGAGGCTAACTAGTTTGGTGGTAGCTTTGAGCAGTTGTGCATAAGAAATCCTGATCAGTTATTAAAGCAAGAAGATAACATTCGGTTTAAACATGCCCTTCAATAACAAAATGGATTAAGTCAGAACTGGGCCCATTGGTTATACGGGGAAATATCTGGTGAAAACCATCAAATAAGTGAAAATACATGAAAACGGGACCTAAAAGTTCTCTAAATTCATGAAAAATTTACTAGAGAGGCATGAACTACATTACCACCAAATCTCAAGTCCAAAATCAACTTCATTTGGAGGAAAAAAAATTCAGGCAAAAGCACCTAATCAGCGATAAAGTGGAGCTAGTATTACAAAGTCTAAAAATGCACCCCAAATTAAAAGGCTAAAAGGACTCACATCTGCCAGTCTGACCGCGGCTTGACTGCTGGTTTTGGCTAGTTCAATGGGGTTCAGCCAACAAACAATGGGCATTTAAGTGTTGCAAGTATCGTGATTACATCATATTGTCACTATGGAGCAATATGTTATAGACATGGGCCAGGCCCATGCAGCAGGTTAGGCATAACAGATTAGGAAAAACATCAATTAAAGGTAGGCGATTATCTAGTTAGGAAATAAATGAGCTCTGATAGTAAATTAGAGATAGAGATTGGGTTGGTTTCTACAATTTTAGACATTATTTCCTTTGGTGTGGTAGTATGTACTCTATTATTAATCAATCAATCAAATCTCTAAAGTTAGCCCTAAGCCTCAGAGCTTCTCTTAGTGGAGACCCTGCTAGAGCTACTAGAGGGCTAGTGCCCTATAGGGCTCTGGACCCTTATCCAAGCCAGTTCAGACCTTGATTGCAATGATATAGAAATCATGAATGCAAGGAAGCAGCAAGGAATACCTCTGGATAAAACCAACAATACACAATCTTAGTCCTCATCTTCATCAGAGAGGAGCCTAATAGGGCCCTTCACCTTGCTATCATTATGCCCACTAAGCTCCAGAGCTGCTTTTGCAAGGAATTCTTCCGTGGCAGCACGAACAGACTTCTTATTTGGCCGCGGTGGTTGTGGTTTTCTCTTGTTCCCAGAGTAACTCCCTCCTTCTCCTCTACTGATTGCCTGCATGCTCCTCTTCTGATCTGAAATAGCAAATGAAACCTCAACACTACACCATAAAAAACCAAACCGTTCGTAAAACTTTTCAATAAACAATTATGTACCAGTTGTCAAATGGGGCAATGAGTGACCAATGAACCTTGCTGCTGCCTGTGTATTCACTGTAGTGGTTGGGCGCAATGGTGCTGCAATTCAGAACACAAGCAGTAATTTGGTATACGTGTGCATAGATATGATATTTCCACCAATAGTTAATGAGTTGTCAAGTACCCTTGTCCCAGTCCTCAAATCGATTTAACTTTTCCTCCCACAAGCTTAACCTCTCCTGAAATAAATGAAGCAGAAGTGGAACTAAACATCTGACAGTATCAGCATTGGAATTGAAAAAACATATTGATTGGATTTTCCATTTTAGATTGTTCCATGCAAAATTTCTAACTAAGAATAAACTCAAATCTTCCCTATCCAAGACTTCAATCTTTAACTGCATTACTGCCCCAGGAACACCAAAGTTATAAAACCATATTAGAAGTTAGGATAAACGAGTGGAATTACAAACCTACAAGCTCTAGCCAAAATCAGGTGAAAAACTGGATAACAATTCGTGAAATGAGCATAGAGCATGGATGATTTAATGTTCAAGCTGCCAAAGGATTGTAGAGTGGTAGTCTTAAATATCAGGATCATCAATTTGTGCCTACTAAGTATGAATATCAGGATATGGGATTATAGAAGGTAGCTCAGTTAAGTTGCTTCAGATATTAGATAGGATAAAAGGAAGTACACAATACCAGCAAGGGAAAAACTTATTCAGCACTGATCCTATGGGAGGCACACAAGTTTGGGAAGAAGTGCACAAAGTGAAAATCCAGTATATTATAGTGTTAGCTTTTGCATCTTGTTATCCCCTGATCAGCTTGATCAGGAACAGGATGTGGCTCACTACACCCTGGACAGATCAGTAAAATTAATTCCTAGATGGCTATACTGAAAAAAAAATTGGTTTGGTGTGTGAGAAACACAAGAATGAAGGGATTTGTTAAAGCAATATCCCATGGAAGTAAGTTTGTTCCTTTTGTGGCCAGGAAAGTGCATGCTGTATTCAGGTATGGAGGATGGTATTAATATTTTGTCATCCTGTCTCTTAGCTACCTTTGTCTGGATTACTATAGAGGCTCTCGAGTGGGACAGGATGTCAACTTCTATTTGACATCTTTTGTATAAGTGAATGAAGTGTTCAAAACTTGGCCCTAGGTGCTAGGCGCCAGGTAGCCACCCCGATTATGCATTAAATGGTGCATTGGGTGGTTAACTGTACTTGGGGGCTCTTGTGCCTGCTATTTTAGTGTTCTATTGTGTAAGTTTTATGTAATATGCTCACTAGTTGCTTGGGATTCACGGCCATGCCAAACCTCTAGCACCTTATATATGTGAATGAAAAATGGGGGTGAATCTGTTTATCATCTTACACTATTTTCTTTTGCAGCTGTTTCTTTTACAATCTATAAGGCAAGGGATCATGGAAATTGAAAGCAGCCTTTTCCTCAGGCAGGAACTTATCGTACACATTCTTTCTAAATTCCAATACGCAAAACTGGAGGTAATTGCTACATCAAGAAAGGCAAAATAATATGGAAGTAATCAAAGGGCAAAGGGCAATAATGGCTACAAGAGTTCAAAGATCAGGGAGTATATTGGATCAACTTTACTTTTCTTAGTTTTGCACCGTGTTTTACTTATTTTGATTTATTATCATTGTAGCAAATTTAGAAATGAGATAACGATCAGACTGATACATCCCAAATTATCCTACTGATTATTTGAGTATTTCTTTCAATTCTTGTGCACATGCCACAGGAGGGTATCCACCGTCACGACATCTTTCCACTGAGCTATGGTGCAAACAGTTTTTGTATGTGATTTTGCATGTGGGAACCGGAAGGATGCAAGGGGAGCGAGCATACATGCAGTACAAACAAGATCGAAAAGGCATGCAAAACTACATGGTTTCTTTCGAGTGAGATATATTTATGGCTGGTTGGTTTCGCGGCCTCCAGAGCATAATCAGGAGATATCACCTTTAAAGAATAAAGATTGCGCCATCCTAGTCCAATCAATCCCTCCTTGAGAGTCTACTTTCAAAAATTAACATCGACTGATTTATTGTGGAATATAAACGAGTATAATCAGGGCTGCTGTGAGCCGAGCAAACGAGCTGGCTAAATGAGCTTTCAGTCCACCACTTTAAAGACAGCTGTAGGGGTGACTTAACTGTGTGATATGCTTTGATAATGGTAGTTGTAAGATTGAACTTACTAGTTATTACTATGATTTATAGGGCACTGGTAAAACCAGCTATTTCCTTTTCCTTTTCTCTGATGCTACTGTGCCGAACCTCGTTATTTGCTTGGGATGAAAGCAGGGTGGTTTGCCTTTGTCTAAAAACAGGGTATAAAATAAGTCCATGACTCCTCTTTACAATAGTATGGCATGGTACAAAGATTCCCAATTAGAAATTGTTAACATAAATTAGAAACCTATATAAGGATACACCCAAACTTTTGTTCTTATTGGCAAATCTGAAACCGAATTTCTACTACTATAGAATGTGAGAACAATGTAGAAGTAGATAGGATTCTAGGCAGGTGTATATATATATATATAGAGAGAGAGAGCTTACAAACTCCTTCTTGATAGGGTGTTCATCCGGATCAACTCCCGAACACCTAAGCCGCACTGCAACAATAATAATAATAGTAATAAAAACAATTGGTCAGAAGCGATGCGGGTCACGCAGTCATAACGGGAAGGGGGTCACCGCGAGAGCTGCCTGCCTGCGAAGAGGGAGGCGGCGGCCTTCGCCATGGCGAGAAACGCGCGCGCGCGGCGCAGCGGCGGGAGCTCGGCGATGGCGTCGGGGTCCTCGCCCGCCGCCGCGACCATCTCGGCGAGGTGGTCCCCGACGGACTCGGCGGCCGCGAGGGTGTCCTCGGCGGCGGACACCACGGCGGGTGGCACCGCCGAAGTGGAATCGGCGGCGGCGGCGGCGGCCATGGTTGGGTGGATGAAGACGGGCAGACGGCGGTGATGGGGCAGGGGAGTTTTGGGTTTTGCCGTTTTGCGCTTCAAGTGCTCGGTTTAGGTTATTTTTGGGCGATCTTCTCCACGAGTATATTTGCCAGCCCATGGATTTCGGCCCATAACAATAACAACGATATTAGTAGGGCGAATTTTTTTTAATTTTACTGGAAAATATGCCCGTTGCAACAACGGTTATACGGTTTAAAGTGAAATTTATTGTAAGAATTCGCTTGTAAGAATTCGCCTAGATATATATTTTTCTAAAAAATCATGAGATGCAATCAGGATTATGATCACCTCAAGTTAGCATTCTAGTATTTTTTAAAAGATTTCTTATACGACTCCTTCTGCAACCCAATCACCAAATGACAACAACTTCACCAATGAACACTAATTCAATCAATAGTGGTGTTTTGGAGGTGGAAGATGAAGATAACAATGACTTGCAAATTAAAAGTATCGTTGTAAACTTGTAAACTTAGAGTGGGATATAAGAAATTACTACTTCCTCCGTTTTAGAATGTAACACTTTCTAATATTGCCCACATTCATATAGATTTTAATGAATCTAGACATATATGTCTAGATTCATTAAAATCTATATGAATGTGGACAATGCTAGAAAGTCTTACATTATGAAACGGATGGATTATATGATATTTTTCTTCAAGCACGTGACAGTCAAGAAAACACAAATTAGATTAAGAAAGTGATAAGAGCTGAGTAGATTTTAGTGAAAACTCTCTTAAACACCCTACCGAAGCTTGTATTGGAGGGGATGGTTCTTTGATAAATGTTTAATTACGTTATCGTATTAAGAACCCTATATTAGTTCTTTACATTGGAGATGGCCTAAGGTTAACATGGCTCTTAACTCTTGAACTTTTACGGAGCATGATGTTTATATATTACATTAAAATGTACTAATACTTTTATTTTGGTCTAAAATAGAAACATAATGTCTCTGCTCCAAGATTCGTATCGTCCCATATAACTGGAGCTGTAGCAAACACTCCCAAGATTTTGGATAATATAGCTAGGCTGGAGCTACCTCTATGCTCCTGAAAATTATGTTACAAGGGTGGACCAACATTCCAGCTCCACTCCACCCTCAGAGTATGAGTCGTACCAAATGGGCCTTGTTGGTATTTCTCATGATCACAGATAAATCTGAGGCGCACGGAATACCGTTGTAGCACTTTCCCTTAAAGTATTCCAAGGGTATCGAACACAAGTAACATGTGTGTATTATCTACGATCAAGATTCAATCCAAGGACAACAACCTAGGATAAATTGGCTAGAGAGAATTCCTACGTCTTTTAGTTAGTTAATTAAGTTAAAGGTCAAACTCTATCGAATGCTTTAGACACCGGCCCTCCCCTAGTCTGTCAGGTTGAGTCCGACCTTGAGATCTATGATGTACCCAAACATGGAGGGATAGAAAGGACGGACAGGGCTGTCTCCACCCGCCGCCTACCTCACTCTCTGTGGAGCACACAACAAACGAAAGTAATTTCTAATCTAAACACCACGTCTAAGTTATTAATTACTACTCTAGCCTTGCACAGGAACTTCCTTCTTTATCCAGAGTCCAAGTACAGTTGCACACTAAGCGACAAACTCGCATTGATAAGAATATACCTCACTTAAATAAACTAATTGTTGATGGTCGTTAAGTGCAAACTTTAACCGTCAACCACTGCATAAAAGATATCAGATATATTATCAAAACTTAGTGGTAGGAGTTTACTACTAACCACTTCCATAGTGGGATGGCAATTTTTCCCATGCGTCTGGGTATCCGCGGATACCCGACCCGATGGGCACGGGCGAGGGTGTAATCTGCCCGAGAACCGAAGATGCCGTGGGCAACAGCTGGGTTTCATTTCATTTTTTACCCATGGGTAACCCATGCTTGACCCGATACATGTTTGGTAGAGAGTGAGGGGAAGCTCCGGAAGGAGTGCCCCGGAATATCGGAGTTCCTCCGAGAAATTTATAGAGGAGTGTTGGAGTGTTGACATTCTTCCAACGGAATTCCTGAGAAAGTCGGGATTGTCGGCTTTCTTTTCTCGCTTGTACCTCGGCGGATGCTTCCTTTATCAAAGTATGTGTTCGAGTTTCTTTATGTTCTTTAATTAGTTTATTTAAGTGAGATACTCCCTCCGGGCTGATAATACTTGTCGTTTTAGATGAGGGTGAGGTCAAACTTTAGAATCTTTGATTATGAATCATTTTTTTAAATATTTATCTTTCAAATATGGTGACTACATGTATAGATTAGTCTTAAAAAAATACTTTAATAAAATCATATAGGCAAAATTTGCTACAGGACACCGAAAGATTGCGGCCATTACTGTGAGACACCTGAAGATCGTGTATTTGCTCGTGGACACTGTAAAAAAGTGGTAATAAGCTGCTGGACACTCCTCCCATTATTTTATTATTTCTGATTGAAATGGAGAGAGAAAGAGTTGTGTAAGTACCAAAATGCCCCTGGACACTGTTCTTCCTCTCTCTCTCTCTTCTTTTCTTTTCCCTTTCTTCTTCCTCGCAGCGGAGCAGAGGCGCGAAGAAGTAGTTTTGGAACAGATCAAAGCGAGGACATGAAATTTGACTGTACATGTCACACACGCAGCCCAACAAGTCGATGGGCTCCGTGAGATCCTTGCTCCACGACTCACGCGCTAGCACGTGCAGCCTCGCCAGGAAGATCGCCAACGCCGTCACCATGGACGGCAGGTAGCGGTGGAAGTGGAACCCGTAGGTCAGCAGTGTCCCATCGGCGAACCGATGCGCCGCCTCCTTCACCAGCTTCTCTTCCTTCCCCTCGCCATAGTACCTCGTGAAGTGCTCACCAAAATGCTGGATGAGGTCGGCAAAGCTTGGTCATCGACAATGGCTCGTAGAATGTCTCGGTGGCGGCGCTTCACCTCAGATGAATGGCGATGGCTCGATTTCTTCAAAGGACTGCCATGCATGCATGTCTTTCGTGTTAGAGAGGTCCATGCAATTGGATTGGGACTCACTAGAGAGGGAGAAATCAAAGATGGAGCTCGGCGGCCGGTTGTAGAAGATGATGCTGATCTCCAAGATCATTGCGCCATTGGATGGGGTACTTGGGGGTATATGGAGAGAGGTCAACATGAAGCTGATGGCGTGGTGGTTTGGCTTGCAACAGTCCACTGCAGCCAAAACGACAACGATGTCAAGGCGGCGACGCGCAGAGTGCGCTCCAAGGCCGGCGATGACACGTGGCGTTCCCGTCGATCCGCTACACGAGAGGATGGAATCAAAAGGAAAATCTTCGGCATGATAAGGTGAGTATGGAACGGTGGTGAGGCAGAGATGGAGATAGTTCTACGGTGATGGCGGGTGTTGTCTTCTTCATGGCCTGCGACAGATTTGAGGGCGACGAAGAGGTTGAGGGCATCCTCTCTCGGTTCACGGTGGGGCGGCGGCGGGGGCGCATCGCCGGGGTTCACCTCCAACGGCGACGACGCACGACGGCTTGGCCACGGCGGAGCTCGGTGGCGGCGCAATGAGAAAGAGATGAATGAAGAAGAAGAACAGAGAAAGAAAGATTGACAAGTGGGCCCATGGGCAAACTTGTCTTTAACCAAACTTTCTCTCTCCGTTTCCACCGGAAATAATAAAATAATGCGGCTGGTGTCCACTAGCTAATTACTACTTTTTACAGTGTCCACGAGAAAATACACGATTTTCGAGTGCCTCACAGCAAATGCTGCAATCTTTCGGTGTCCTGTAGCAAATTTTACCAATCATATATTTGTTAACACTTTTATACGTATTATAATGGAAAATAATGGTCAAAGTTGTTTTTTGGAGACCGTGTCCTTGTCCAAAATGACAAGTATTATCAACCCAGAGGGAGTATATTCTCATCGGTGTGGGTTCGTCGCTTAGTGTGCAACTGAGTGCTCTAGTACTAGGTCTTTGGATAGAGGAGGAAGTTTTTGTGCAAGGCTAGAGTAGTAATGGCGAGGTGTATAGGTTAGAAATTACCTTCATTTGTTGTGTGCTCCACGAAAAGTGAGATAGGCGTTAGGTGGTGACAGCCCTGTCCATCCTTCGTATCTCTCCATGTTCGGGTACATCATAGAGCTTAACGGTGGACTTGTCCTAGCAGACCATGGGAGGACCGGTGCCTGAAGCATTTGATAGATTCTTACCTTTATCTTAATTAACTAATTAAAAGACATATGAATCCTCTCTAGCCACTTTATCTTAGGTTGTTGTCATTGGATAGAATCTTGATCATAGATAATACACACATGTTCCTTGTGTTCGATACCCTTCGAATACACTAAGGGGAAGTGTTACAACAGTGTTCCGTGCTCTTGTGGATTTATCCGTGAACATAAGAAATACCAACACTAGTTAAAGAACATAAAGAAACTCAAACACTTACTTTAATAAAGGAAGCATCCATCGAGGTACAAGCGAGAGAAGAAGGCAAACAATCCCGGCTTTCTCTAGAACTCCGTTAGAAGAATGCCAACACTCCGGCACTCCATCAAATTCTTGGAGGAACTCTGATATTTTGGAGCACTCCTTCTGGAGCTTTCCCTCACTTTCTACTAAGCCAACATACTAAAAATAAAACTACAAGTGTGTTGTACTATACTTGAGCTGAAAGTTGTGTTTGTTGAAGTATGTGAGGTCTCCTCATTTTATAGCTTCCAATGATGGTTAGAATAGCGGTTAACCCCTCACAACTGTCATTGGGACTTCATCAGGGCTATCCACGTGTAAGGTGGAGATGAGGTGGGACAGGATGGGTTCGGCCGACCCCTGGGCCCCACATCTCTCCACCAACTTTCTCCAATAGCTTACAGGTGGGCCCCTATGGTGGTTAAGGACGGTTGGTCCCACTTTTGGTTTCGACTGACTTTTGGGCCCTCTGTTGACGGTCATTATCGATCAGTTTCGACTGTCAATATTACCAAAATAGAGAACTAGTGATGCTTGCAATGCATAAATATGTTAGAATAATAATATTCCACTAGTATTAGGTCTACTAACCTTTTGCAGAGAATAACAATAAAGTGGAGGAGAATCGACATCAACTCAAACGATAAATCAATTGGACGATGTCGAGAATCAGACTTATGCATGAATGGGCCAAGAACTCAGAATTGACACGATGAATTGGGCAAAAATTCACAAGTCTACAAAGTGAAGCAAAAGAGGAGGTCGTCAGCCGAAGATGGGCTGGTTTGGGCCAGCCCATGGTTCGGCCAAACCAGGGGGTTCGGCCGAACCCCCATCTCCACCGTTGAGGCCAAGGTTCGGCATGGACGTCCAAGATTGCACCCCAATGACGGTTGGAGGGTACTTCGGACAATCCCCCTTCTACAACCGTCATAACCACCTCTATATAAAGGCTTCACTCTCTTCACTTCAACACACACCTCAAGCAAGAGCTCTCTCATTTCTCTCAAGTTTAGTTTAGTAGTATCTAGCTGGTGGAATAGGAATAGAGTAGAAATCAGGAGTCCGGAAGTCTTCGGAAGAGTTCGGGTATGGCTCTAGTAGCTTTCCTTTCCTCTTTTGTAAGCTTTGTACTTTTATTAGAATACTCTTCTATATACATTTATGGTATTGAAATACTTTCCGAGTATATGAGTACCTACTTTACATTATGTTCATATTATACTGAATATACGGCTAGTTTATCTGGGAGATGATTTGGTGCGGGTATAATGTTTGCTTATGCAATTAATCTTTGTCATGAAGATGATATTATAGTAGTATCTGGTAGTTTAGGCGTGGTGTCTAGATCACGGGATATCATTATTTGGGGTTATATGCTGTGGATGAGAGGTGGGCCGCTGATGGTGACAGCTCAGTACGGGTATTCCTCCGCACATGTATATACTAAGTTAATTCCCTGGGGAGGGTATTCCTCCGTATTTAGCCCCGGTTGTATGGTCATGACGGGCTGTCGTAAGAAACTCGGCAGTCAGGGGTGGTTTCTCGAAGTACCAGGAGGGCATCGAATAGAGGGTATTAGCTAGTATATCGGTTAACTAGAATGTATGTATACTATGTATATTAGAAGTATAGGAATAGATTTTCTTTCTCTTTTCTTCCCACTTAGCTTAGATAATATATTATGACAATGAGTAGCTAATGCTTGTGTGTCACTCTACCCTTGGATTATTTTAACCCCTGCTTAGAATATGATTATCACAAGTAATATATAAACTATTAGTCAAGTTCTCTCTACATGATCTTCCCACGGAATAAAATAAATACGACACCCTTGGAATACTCTCGGGTGAAATGCTACAATGGTATATCCGTGCGCTTGTGGATGAACTCTGTAACCATAATATATCAGAAGTATTTCTGCGCCATTACTGGGAATTATATTTCTAGTCATGACGTTAAGAAATACCGACACCCTCCAATCCTTGTACTAGCGTATGATTGGTTAGGGGTTCATTTTCATCGCATGGCGGGTGTATTTTCTCCTTAAATGACCTGCATACATATATTTGTCAAAACTAGTAGAAGTGGTTAGTAGTAAATTCGTACCACTAAGTTTTGATAATATGTTTGAAATCTTTTACCCAGGAGTTGATGGTTAAAGTTTGCACTTAACAACCGTCAACATACCCTAATAATCTTATTGTACTACTAGCTTCGACTTTAAATTTTTAGAGCTACACATACCTAGCTCTAAAATTTATAGGAGGTCGAAATCTGCCAAAATTAAACCTAAATTAAGGAAAATTTGGATACTAAATGATTGCATTTTAGATACCCCACTTTTGATGCAAAATTTTGTCGTGACACACGAATGCCTAGGAGATTGGCTTAGCTCCAGTGGAGGTGCTAAATCTTGATGAGGTTCGGGCGTGCCAGTTAATTTGATCCTGCAACTAACTGGATGGAAATATATCAATGATCAAGGAGCTGATCATCAACTTAGGGGCTGAACATCAACTTAGGGAGACGATCAACTTATGAAGCTGATTTTGATAAGGTTTTGATGAATTGACTATAGGTTCCATTTATGTAAATTAAAGTGTATATCGGTTAACTAATCGATACATCTGATAGCTGAAGTCCACAATAATGATAACTCATCGGCCAGAACTCCTATGAACACCGCATAAAAAATATCGGCTTACTAGAATTAAACTTATTAGCAACAATGTAATAAATCGGACCTAACCAAGAAAGTATAAGATCAAAGATAATAAGGACAACCTATTTGGCTAATAGATCTACACAAACATGATGGACATATCGATCAATCTAAAGCTACAATATGATTAAAGAAATAGAAACTTAGGCAGAATATCGGACCTAACCGAGAAAGTCCTAACTAAGCTGATATGATTCTAAACAACGATGCAGTTAAAGATAGAATCAATATATCTGAGAGGCAACACTTACTTCAACTTGAATAGAATATTAGACCTAACTAAGAAATTCAAGTCGGGCCCTTAATTAACTTGTATAGATGGAATCAACTAGATCCCGGGTAGTTACAGGCTTACAGAAGATCAAATCCATTCTGAAAAGATTAGAGGAATGTTATTCTTAAAGATATTTTTTATTGAAAATGTTGGAGGACTACATTTCATTTCATTAAGGAGAAAGAAAGAAAGAAAGTTGATATATATATATATATATAAAATAGTCCCCCGCAAAAAAAAAGATTTATAAGATCACTTAGGGGTTTTTACCCTCCATTTCTTATTCCTATTAGGAATAACTCACTACAACAAAGCTAACAACTCTTAAAGAACCAGATTTGTACATAAACTATTTTACCCCTTGTTGAATGGATGATACTCCATATTAGAAAGACATTGTGTAAAGTAGAGTTTGTTTGCTAATAAAGCGAAGATAAAAGAATTGATGCTATGATTGTTATGTTTATGGTACCTCACGTCACTACCTTTCATGTGTAGTTGGCATTTAATTTTGTTATAAAAATCATGTGTAAGGTGCATATGATCACGATAATAGTAGATAAGGTCAACCGTTATACTTTTAGAATGGATTAACCAAATAATCAACAAATTTGGTACAGTATAATCTAAAGAAAAAGCTTAACTTTCTTTAAAAACATTTCATTGAAAGTGGTAGCAACATAAACTTAGTTTTCTTTTTGGGTGGATGACACAATCAAATGTAGCTATAGAAGATAGATTTTGAAAAAAATATTGATATCCCCACCAAAAAATGTTGGATAATTTCCATCTTTATTTGCATAAGTATTGCTTTGAATAAGTTCAAAACAAAAATAAGGGAATCAAAATTAAGCAAGTTCCAACGGTGCAATCAAACATGCATGTAGCTTATCACTGGTAGTTTAATTATTATGTCATCACACAATAAGTTCTCAACATACATAAGGCTGAAAATAACTAAATAAGCAAATATTTGGATGTAACTGCAGCAAGATCATGGGAGAGCTTGGTAGATTCAATGCTCCATGCGCTTCATCACTTTATAATTCTTTGCACCCTTGATACGAATGCTCTAACCCCAGGTGGTGTTGATGGTATGAGCTTAATATCCTCAAGGGATTTGCAGATTGGAGCCAACAACGTGAGTAATTTACTAACCCTTTCATCACCTAACCAGAAATAGATTGTGATCTTCTTAAGGTAATCAGCGGTAAATTCTTTAACCAGCGGGGGTGCCGTGGGTGGCTCTTGGAGGCAATATTCGCACACTTCCTGTAATTGAAAATGGGACGTTAGGTTTTCTCACTGTGCATGGGAACAATAGATCATAGAGCAAAAGAGGATTGATGAATCACCATATTGAGCTTCAAAGTGAGATCCTCTAGCAGTGGTGAGTACCAAAGGAAGTGGAGTAAGGGAGAGAATTCGTTGGACATGCACCATTCACCAAGAGTCAGGCTTATTAAGTTGTCGAACATTGGGCTTGTCCAAATTTCCATTTCAAATTTATCCTGTGTATATGGGGAAAAAAAGAAACAATGTCAAATGAGTTAAAGATATAAAGTTAAAGCAGCATATGGAAAGTTGGTTTGGTACATTGAGACTTCAAATGCCCCCATAAGCTTCTTAGTTCAACATAGTTGTCAACTTCTTTTTGTGTGAATGACCTCTTGGAACAAACTTAGCCTTTATGTTCCTTTGATAAGATAGTTTTGGGTGAATGACAAGAAACTAGAGTACTCATGATGAACCAAACATATTTTTTTTAGAGAATACAATACTATTTATCTTCTTAACCCCTTTCCTATCTTGGTGATGTACTTTCATTTAGATAAGTTTGTTTGTTTGTTTAAATCCCATTGAATCTCAATGTTTTACCAACAAAGTGAAGATAAGCATGCATGAAAAGCATCTATACCTCTCTTAGGGGAGCAATCAACTCGATGCTTCTTGCCTTTGTAAGGCCACTAACTATACCATGGTTGATCTCTTCCCCATCTTGTTCTTCCCCCTCGTCCATGTCCGCTAAATCATCAGTAGAATGAAAAAACTCATCAAGTATAACTATTGCCACCTCCAGGCATGGCAATGTCATGATCATAGGAGCTCTGTGTTGAGGGTTCTTTATGCACAAAGACATTAAACTTGAACTAGATATGAGAAGATCTTCAAATAGACAACAATTATCGATATCTAGGTGCAACAAAGAACCAGATGAGATTTCAGGGACCTCCAAAGAGCAGTCCCTAAGCTCCAAATTTTCTAGTGCTGGGCATGAAGAGTTGATGGGATAGAAGACATTGGCATCAATACAAACATTGTTAAGGACCAAAAATTTCAGGCATATAGAAGTGAAGTCCACAACCCCATAGTCCAACTTGAAAGGTTCACAATCTATATCTTCAGAAAACTCAACCACTTTACTGCTTCTCTTAATAGCATATGTTATCCAAGAGCCAGCATCTCTTGTATCTGCAGAGTGGAGGCGCAAAGCATCCAACAAAGAAGAGCCACGTTGGCGCAACATTCGGTTGACAAAGTTGCAGAACTTCTGGCCTCTATGCCTTCCAAACTGATTTACATCAATGTTCAGGTATGCTGATGAGGTCCAAAGATGTCTCCATCGTGTGGATAACATGCCTGTGTACACAAGCTCCAAAGCTGGTAAGGTGGACATTATGGCGTATAGCAATTCATTAGGAAGATTGCTGATTCTGTCGATGCTCCCATTCCTCGTATTTATCGAGCTTCCTTGATCCAACATGTGGCCTGCATCTGATACAAAAGTGATTTTTCCTTTTTTTTTTGCATAAAGTAGAACAACATGAGAAAGTATCAACATTCAAAATAAAAAATAAAAATAAAGGTGTCAAGCGGAAAATTAAATTGTGTGTGCTCTTTCAGTGAGAGAGTGCTAGAATGTTTTACACATAACTATGGATTGTTCATGAAACTTTTGGGTAAAATGTGGTAAAAATTCGTAAAACGGTATGGGTAAAATGTGTATGTTAAATCAGTATGTCACAAATATAGTCTGGTTTAGAAGCTGTAGAATGTGAATAATTAAACATCATTAAACTTATATAACTACACTCAAATAATGAAGAATACACAAGCTCGCAACATTTTTCATACTTTTTATGCTAAATATTGTAAAATTCACTAATTTACATTATTTTCTTAGTTAATATAGAAAAGGAAGAAAGAGGTACAGGTCATTTAAACCTCTAAAATAGGCATAAGGGCATATATAATTAAAAATTCAATTCATAATGCTCCATGTTCTACCACAAAGGAAATTTTGTGCTGAAAATATTATTCATGGACAAAAAAAAATAACATGTCAAGGTAAATATTGCACATTTGAGAATGGCTTTAGTACTAGACAATGCCTTCTTATTTGTGGTGCTTTGCACTGGAGAACAATGTTTTTTTTCTTATGATTACCATCTTTTGTCATAACCATGCCATCTGAAGCTTGTTTATGATGTGGTTGCATTATTACAAGCCCATTGTTGTGACCTGCAACCCTATGCTGCCGTTGCAGATTGACAGGAGTGCTAGAGTCTTGTGGAAGTAGTGGATTAGAGTTCCTTTTGCTTTTGGAGTTAACCATTTGCAGTGCAATCCTCAACACATAGTCTGCCTGAGAAATTGGAAGAAAAACCAAGATTTGTCAAAGTTGCTTGGTATGTTATGCTAAGCTTAACCTTGAAGTGAAGCTAACGTGACACAAAAAACACCAAAAACAAGAGTCTCTGTATGTGTTTATAATAATGGAAGTATGTTTTGGGTTTTGCATGCACCAACTATGAGCACATAATTATTTAACCGTGGGTAGCAAGATCTAAATTTTGTTCGTAGAGTCATACACCTAAGATTCCACCGGACTCCTGATTTCTACTCTATTCCTATTCTACCAGCTAGATACTACTAAACTAAACTTGAGAGGGGAGCCACTCCACACAAATACAAAAAAGAAAAGCAGCCCACCCTCAACAACACATCTCCGTGCAGGGGAGGGTCTATTGTGTAAGCACGTGAAAAGAAGTATGGTAACATTGTAACGGTAGTTTTCATATATGTACAACATAAAATAGTTTAACTGACACATTTTGCTCTATAGAAAGAGAAATAGGAACTTGCCATTGATCTGGCAAGAAGAATTAATCACCCAAATTTGAGCCGCGCAAAGACGACCCATAATTGGGTGCTGGGGATTTAAACCTACACCTCCAATCCTATTAATATCCTAGCAACCAAACCATAGCCTAGTTGGTACATATTTTACTACGGAATCAAACGTGTTTTGAAGTCTGAACATTATTTGCATAGTTCCAATCCATAGATGTTCTAGGCATATATTACCAACATTTTTCATAGACCTCATGAATCATACTCCCTCCATCCTAAATTATAAGTGTCAGGGTTATGGATACCACATACCTAATAGTAGTTGACTAAATCTCGGCAGGATCCACCACATACCATGTCCTATACGGAAGCAACCTTCGGATATAGGAGGAGTTCCGGAAAAGGAAAGACAACCAGAGTTCTACATGGAAACGACAAGGACTACCCGGATTGTATCCATATTAGTTTCCCTAGTTCTACTTAGACAATGGGACACCTATGGGTATAAATACAAGCCCCCTAGGAGGACAGGGGGACACCCACCACGGGACAATCAACACCCAACACAATCAACATAGAAGCCTACATACGCCAAGACACGCCGCCGGATATCGACTTTAGGGATAAGCACGACTAGTACCCTACGGTGTCTCCGGATACTGTCAGGAGAGACGAAAGCGCTATCTCTGATCTCGCTGGGCACGGATTCGAGGTGGAAGGCTACCCTGTTGTCGACTACGAGTCAGATCGTCAGACCGCCATGTCGACAACAGTTAGATAGGCTACCCCAAATATTGTACTGGTGTGATTATCATGAATAAGAGCAATACCGGCTTCGGCCAACAGGATGTAGGGTTATTACCTGACAGTTCAGGAGCCCGAACCTGTATAAAAATCCCTGTCTCCATCTCTTTACCTCAGTCTCGCATATATCCTAGCAACGACGATCCCCATACTATGCAAATACCAGAATTGCGACATCAAACGTCGACAATAAGGCCTATATTTTTTTACACGGTATTCAATGATATACTTTAACCACTAATTTATCTCATGTTATGTTTCCAACATATATGAAATTAGCATTGTATGAAAGTACTTTAAAATATGAATATAGTGATATAACATGCATAATATTTAGCATATATATGGTTAGTATGATTATTAGTCAAAAGTTATCAAGTTTATTTTTTCTTAGAAAGAGGGCGTCCTATAATTTGGGACGAAGGGAGTATATATTTCCGCTATTATCCAGAATGTATCATTTCCAAGTCAAGCATTAAAGTAGCATCAAAAAGTGCTAATCAGTCTAAAAGTTGGCAACTGCTAAACTTGTGTCCTTACATTGGAAAGAGGAGGGCACCATGATAGGTGACAACTCCAATTTATTCCCTTGATCTGGAAATCGTTACACATGAACGAATATGTTTCATTTATCTTCTTCTACTGAAACCACAATTACCTCCATATATAGTTAATAGCATACCTAGCATACCTTTCTAGATATGAAGATGCGGCAGACACATGATAGAGGATTTAATTTGTTATGAAACAGTAGGGTGCAGATTTAGCCAGCTCGATCAATTGTACTCCCTCCTTTTATACAGAATGCATGCTTTTCAAAAATTCAAACTTTGTAGATTTTGACTGGTAACAGTAATATTTTAAGTATATTTAGTTATAAAAATGTAGCATGTTTGGTATAGACCATATTTCAAGGGGCTTTCACATCATATCAGTTTTCTAGCTACTAACAGCATATTACATACAAATCTTTCTAAGTGAAAAGAGAATCTCAAAACGTCACCTTATTGATCCACATAAGCAAAAAATTCTAGACCATCAGATAAAGAAAAGGAGGGTGGAAGTAGCCGTTGGATTGGATTAGTAAAAAAATAGTGAAACATTATTCTAGAGCTTTATAGCCTTCTTTCTTACAGTGGAGAGAGAGAGCGCGCATATCAGGCAACGGTTATGGCCGGATGGACTAGCTTGGCCGATCATAAATAAATATAATAATTCAAGCACAAAGATTGAAAACATATGCTCTAATTAACCAAATGGTAAAAGGAAGAAAAGATAAAAATATGATTACGTACGCACATAGTAACCATCATGATGCTTAAAGGTGAAATCTCCAAAGGCAATGAAATATCAATAAGACGCATGCATGCTCGACGAAACATTCATCAGGCAACGGTGGCAACGGTTATGCCCGGATGGACTGGCTTGGCCGATCGTAAATAAATATAATAATTCAAGCACAAAGATCGAAAACATATGCTCTAATTAACCAAATGGTAAAAGGAAGAAAAGATAAAAATATGATTACGCACAGAGTAACCATCATGATGCTTAAAGGTGAAATCTCCAAAGGCAATGAAAATCAATAAGACGCATGCATGCTTGACGAAACATTTGAGTAGTGCAATTAATGGGTGTTCTTCTAACATTATTGGTGAGTAAACATGGCAAACCATTTTATTTCTTCAAATCAGACAACAATATTTCAAAACAATAATAAAAAATAACATCTTAACAACTATAGTTACGATTATGATGCTATGCTCAAACATATACCTATAATATTTAGCAACGACAGGACTAATAAAACTACTATTTATTTTCGTGATAACATTTATTTATTACATATCAATATAAATATATTTGTATTGAATGTAGATTTTTGGTCAAATAAGTTTTTCCGGACACCTATTAAGTACGTAAAAAAATATGAGAATGGTAGGGTCATGCAAAAATACACACGGTGATTAGTGGCAAGGAGGCAGCTTAAGCAAAAGCGTAAAAGATGATTAGGGAGGGAGAAATGGCAGCATAGAAGACAAATACAAATTAAACCCAACCCTGTCCGCTACAACAATCCTAAAACTCTATTCTACATATAAATTATTTTTAAAAAAACATACAAATAAACCCACTTCTCATATTTATAAACCGCGAATCCACCTTCGCCGATGAGTGTAGCTATAGACTAAGCATAATTTATCAATACAAACAACGTGTAAATGTAAACATGTTTAGTACATAGAGAGGTTAAAGTCGTGCGAACGCACGACTATATACGCTAGTTATGTGTTTAATGTACTTCAAATTTCAAGGTGCACTTCCACCATATTTGTTTTCTTAGCTACAAACATTAAATGTATTATATCATAAATTACTGTTTGACCAATTATTTCTCATATATAATGAGGAGGGAGTACCTTGCTGGTAGCAACCATGTAAGTTTTGTCCTCTTCATTAGTAGCATTATCCTGAATCATTTTCATTCTTCCAGGAAAATCTATTGGAAATTCCTCCAGAAGCTTTTCCATCCTGTATACATAAGAAGTTACTACTTTTACCACCAGGTCTATAAGATATGCAGTACAACTTTATGCTACATGCATATAACTTCGGTTGTTGTCACTCTAATTGATTGAGAATGGATAGTGTAATTGTTTTTAATGAATTCTAGTCTGAGTACTGCAGCTGTATGTGTTACAGACCATAAACTTACAATGATTGTATTAGGTGTAACCAGTAGCTAAATATTGAGATGGCACTGGTATATCATTTCAATCTTGATTCTTTAATTAATGCTCTAGTTCACTAACCCTTATAAGAATGATTAGTTAATTTGACACATGATTATCTGTCAAGATGAGACAGTAACATAGTCATGTGTCGACTTACAAAACAATATGGCTGCAAATATTATAGAAACTAGTTGATTTCCCACGTTTTGCTATGGAAATTATTAAGCAATTCTCGAGAAAATAGAAAATATCTAATTCCTTGTATATACATATATTTCTATTAGCATATGTATATAAAATTGACTGAATGATGGTTGGAATAGTAAATATGATCTGATATCTTGATTATATGATTGTCCAATTAACTATCTGATTAAATATATAGCATTTAGATGGGGTGGTGATTAATGGCATTGTTTAATTAGTGAGGAAGTGGAGGAGACTTTTATCTAACGGCTAATAATGGAAAGACTTGTCGATCCAATGGTTAAAACTATTTTGATGACGTGGCCACTACAAGATAATTAAGCTATTGCCACCAAATTATTACAACAAAAAATATTTCGTAGCAATATATTGTACTATAGCAATGATAATTTTTCTATGGCAAATAATTATATTTTATTGCAACGATCTACAATCGTTATTTTATTTAGTACTTTTGTTGCAATAGAAAATGAGATATCGCCACGAAAAATCTTACTGTTGCAAAAAACATGTTCTATAGCCACAATTTTAATTTTTATGGCAATTTATATAATACATGGTACTTTTCACTACTTTTTGTTGCCACGATCCACAAATTCATTGCAATAAAAAAATTGTCGTCTCATAATTTAACTTATTTTTTTTCATATGGATACGGATTGAGACAAATTTTATATGGAAATTGTAGCTCTCGACGAGATCTATAATTTTATAGTTGATAACTTTTTTATTTGAAATCTTTTAGATATTTAAATCTATGATTCAAATCTCAGTTAGATAGGCTCAAATGGAACGATATGCATATTCCAACAGAATTGATGCGTAGGTGAGTTGGTAAAGGAGATCATGCGTGAAGGATAGGTCTTGGGTTCGAATCCTAGCCAATACATGGTGTAAAGAAATAAATATAAATAGATAGGATGATAGATTAATAATTTAAACTTTTAATTTGGTACGTAGAACTAATGCCACATATGGAGTGGTGGCAATAACTTTTATTACAACGATGTAAAGTGTTGCAATTTGATTTTTTTGCCACATCCATTCCGTGGCAACATCTAAATTTATTACCACTAAATAAAAATCGTTGCAATAACCTATTACCACGCTATTTATTACCACGGCTAGCAACGATTTTAAAATTGTGGCAATATGTATTTATTGTCATAATTTTAGTATTGATGCTACGATTTTTTTCGTGGCAACAAATGATTTTTTTAGTAGTGGGCTAAACGTGATGCCTGTTTGTGGTCTCACTTATATAGAAAGCATAGATTTATAAATTTGGAGTATAGCTTATAATGGAAGGCTCGTCATATGTATATCCTTTATATTTACACCACCATCCACACGCATGACACAACCCTCTTGGGTCGGTGGGATCTTATGAGCACAAGAATATATATTTGTGCATGTAGCTTTTACTGATCTCATTTCTGGATTGATGCTTGGTTCGAATTTAAAATTTATGATATATGCTAGTAAAGCCTAAAAAAACACCCTTAATAGTGAAGGCAGCATGACTCATGGTTCTTATGAAGTGTATGTTGCCCAATGCCAAATATCCTTTTATTAGAGTGCGCAGCCCGGCTCACCAACCAACCGTGGGCGTGGGCCATTCCGGTCACATTGGGCCTGCTCCACCACAGGCCCAACCAGAGCCACAACTTTAGGTCTTGGGCCTACACAACCCAAAAGACTAGTCTGATGGGTAAGGACCGTCCCCACCTTTTAAGTTGTGCTCCCCTATCATCAATTACCGATGTGGGACTAAACCCAACAATCTCCCCCGTCACATCAATCCATGTGACCCCGAAGACTTGTTACTTGGCCTCCCCATCATGTGACCTATGGAAATCGTTCCGGGTTCTAAACCTGGGCTCTGATACCACTTGTTAGAGTGCGCAGCCCGGCTCACCAACCGTGGTCCATTCCGGTCACATTTGGCCTGCTCCATCACAGGCCCAACAGGAGCCACAACTTTAGGTCCTGAGCCTACACAACCCAAAAGACTAGTCTGATGGGTGAGGACCGCCCCCACCTTTTAAGTCGTGCTCTCCCATCATCAATTACCGATGTGGGACTAAACCTAACAATCTCCCCCATCACACATCGGGCCCAACAATCTCCCCCGTCACATCAACCCATGTGACCCCCGAAGACTTGTTACTTGGCCTCTCCACAATGTGACCCATGGAAATCATTTCGGGTTCTAAACCTGGGCTCTGATACCACTTGTTATAAAAGTTAGTCAATATAGCGGAACGACGACTAACCATCTCGATATAGCATGGTGATTCTACCACTTCTAGGTGGCATATATTCATCAAGGTGGAGTTTGTTAGAATAGATGTCGAATATACTAGTCCTATTTGGTTACAGTTGGACTTGGAGTTGGAATAGGTGTAGGATAGAGTTAGAGTCGAACTCTGTCATATGCTCTCTCTTAAATAAAGAGGGGGGCACCACAATGTAACCATGGCGACTACGATGTAGTGTAGACACGCAGAGAGACGATGATAGCGTGGCCATGGACTCTTAGCGGCTAGGAGCTATATTGGTTGGGGAGGAGCGCCCATAATTAGAGCTCTGGGGATGTAGGCTTCAGTTGAACCTCAGTAACAAGTATCATGTGTTCATCTGGCATACCTTGGGTGATCAATGACTGAAGCGATCGGGAAGGTTAGTCGTCGTTCCGCTATATCGACGAACTTTTATAACAAGTCACTTGTTAGAGTGCGCAACCCGGCCCACCAACCATGGGCCACCCAGGTCAAATTCGGCCTGGTCCACCATAGGCCCAGCCAAAGCCCCATCATCAATTATCGATGTGGGACTAAACCCAACAATCTCCCCCGTCATATCAACCCATGTGTGAATGTGGGACTAAACCCAACGATCTCCCCCGTCACATCCCCGAAGACTTGTTACTTGGCCTCCCCACCATGTGACCCATGGAAATTGTTCTGCCCCACCTTTTAAGTCGTGCTCCCCATCATCAATTACCCAACAATCTCCCCCGTCACATCAACCCATGTGACCCCAATGTGAGACTAAACCCAACTATCACCCCCGTCACATCAACCCATGAGACCCATGGAAATTGTTCCGGGTTTCAAACCTTGGGCTCTGATACCACTTGTTAGAGTGCGCGGCCCGGCCCACCAACTGTGGGCCACCCAGGTCAACATTGGGCCTGCTCCACCACAGGCCCAACCGGAGCCACAACTTTAGGTCCTGGGCCTACTCAACCCAAAAGACTAGTCTAATGGGTGAGGACCGCCCCCATATTTTAAGTCGTGCTCCCCCATCATCAATTACTGATGTGTGACTAAACCCAACACCTTTCTTGGTCTTTTCTACAGAGTGTATATTATATCTCTCCCAATTAAAATTACCCTGTTAGAAGTAATTACACATTCTAGATTGTTATAAAAATAGTGTTTTTGAACAATTTAGAATATACATAGAATTCAAAAGTACTTTGTAAAAATAACCGTTGAGCAGGGTTGACAGTATTGGTGGTTACCACATGGTAAACGTAGTAAATTATCTTGGTGGTTCGATAGGATAAACCGATGATATGATTTGGCAAAGAAAATTTAAATTTAAATTTGAAAATGAAGAATATTCGAAATATTCCTACAAGTAGTAAATACATTCTAGTGCTAACTAGTAAAATATTGTGTGAAAAAATAAAAAAATAACTTCGTTCTTTTGAGCCAAACCAAAGTGGAAATAACAAATAGGAAAAAGAAAAGAAGAAGTGGGTTGGGCCATTTCTCGGGTACCATGTATGATCTCGGGGTATATTTATACTTCAAAACTAACAATTAGACATGCATGTAAGTGTAAAATAGAATATTGGAATAATCATTAAAAATGTATAAATAGATGTTTGGATGGAATGTAGGGAAAAAACATAGAAATATTAAAAAAGATGTTGTGCCCATCAGTTCAAAAATCAAAGATCAGTGCATAAACTATATTTGACATAGCATCAATCGAAATCCATTTGTTAATTTAGTTCCTCTCCCTATTGAGATCCAACCACCGCACACAAGCCCGAGCAAGAATGAATTGATTCAAATATTTGAGCTGCCAGAGCCAGGCAACGGCGAGTGGAGACGCGAGGTCAAAGCAGATGGTGACATGGGCTAGCTTGAGCGGCAGTGACCTTGGACTTGAGCATTGCTGGCACCAACTCAAGCAGGCGGAGGCATGGAAGGCAGTGGGCTGGCAGATCACCGTTGGCCGGCATGGCGTACGTGTGCTAGAGCAACCAAAACAGTGATGCACCGTTGTTGAAGCCATCTCGCCCAAGCTCCTCATCGCCATTCCCATGGTTGACAAATATGTTATAAGCTGCCTGATCTTCTCGATTCCACAAGAAAAAAGGAAATGAAGGGAAAAAAAAGATAGGATGTGATGGAAAAATTTCCTACATTTATCGCGTGGAATCTATAGCAAAGGAATATTTCATCCGGCATTACTATTAAGTCATTGCTATAATCTAAAAGGCGCTATATATAGTGATATAATCGATAGGAATCTAAATCCTACAATTTTCCCCTTGTTTTCCTCCATTCCAAAGGAACCCTAAAGGTTAATTTAATCTATATTCAAAGCATAAGCATGAGAGTGAAAAGAAGCAATCTTACGTCATCTCGATTATCGTATTGCGAGCTTCTTGAGAAATTTGGGTCCTCCAGTTGAGGGATTGTCCTGCCATGTTGTTTGAGCTGGAACCTTCCATTTAAAGAGAAATATGGTTTCCTTCGTGAACTGAGTTGAAAATGATGGAAACAATGGAAAAGGAAGAGTTTTATCTTGCACATAGAGTGGAACAAGCGATCGGAGATTTATAGGGGGGAGGGGTGGTGATTAAGGGCATAGATGGTAATATTGCATTCGGCGCGTGGGTAGTTGGGTGTTGCAAAGTTTCTCTTTAGTGACTGTTGTTTTTTGTTTACATTGTTACGTGTGTGAACCTCGACTACCACGTGTTGGTATAGTTGCAATCGGTCATAATACTTGACAGAGAGCATGCGTATCAGCATGACTATGCTCCTCCTATGTTGCCAACAATCTTTATTGGCTGCATGCGTAATGGTCCCGTGAATTTGGCATTACATATCAAGTATACACATACAACCACATTTGGTAGTAGTTTCCAGTTGTTCACCATTTCAATGCTTGGCTGAACAACATGTCGACGACACAATGTATTGTCCTTAGAGAAGATCAGACAAAATTCCTACACGAGCACCCAGCAGCGAGCACCCTAGCTTGCTTTGCCTCTCTTTCACGAGGAACAACCATTTCACGGTATCACAACCATTGACAGATGGCATGTGTATGAATTTTTTGAGGTGGAAAACAACAGTCCGATACAAATGTATATCCTTGTTCCTCGACTTGAAAAAATGCACATGAAAGTAAGCAACAATATTGAACTGATAAAATCTATCTATATGTTCTTGGTTCTCAGAGACAATAGATGTCTAGATAGCCACTTGACTTAGCCAGATATAACTAGACTGATCTGGCAACCGAAACATGATATATATCTACCACCGTAATTTTGACAATTTGACTCTTTGTAAAAACTTATTATAATAATAGGCCGTGCCAAAAACTTATTTCAAAAATAAGCCGTGACCTCAGCGCCATAGGAATTGGCGCTGAGATCCACCATCTCAGCGCCACTAATTTTGGCGCTAACCTCCATCTGATGTGGCTTGTATTAGCTACATCATCAAGTGGTCCGCGCCATACTCTTTGGCGCTAACCTTGACAGTAGATAAAATGTAAAAAACGGTGACTCCTATCACGTAGGTATCATTTGTGTGGTGGTAATGCGCTAAAGATTCTAGCAGTAGGTCCTGGGTTCGACCCCTACGACATGCACATTTTTTTTACTTTTTCCTACTATCTGCTATAGCCTAATTTGCTACCAAGATCATAAGTTTGGCTTATAAAAATCATTTTATTCTGGACTAGACAAATATGAAAAGGATACATATTATAAAACTTTTTAGATATTTCCATGTATTATAGATTAATAAAATTATAAATATATTCCCAACATTTAAAAATTATTTTGAACTTCAGAAAATATGTAAAAAAAAATATTGTGCATGTTCTCAAATTTTTATATACCTTAATTGTTGTAATTGACATGTATATCGTCATATGCTTTCCAAATTTATTTTTATTATAATAAAATTGAGAAAATATGTCCTCAAATTCTTCCTAATAATGTGTGTGTGTATATATATATATGTATATATATATATATATATATATGTATATATATTCATATATATATACATATATATACATATACATATATATATATATATACACACACACATAACATTAATTCATATTATTTAGTTATAAGTACCAAGCATGGTAAGGAAAAAATGTAAAAAGATGAAACAAGAAAATGGTACTGTGGGTTCGAACCTTTATCCTTTGACCTTAGATTAAATCACCTCCACCACTGAGCTACCGTACCATGAAGCTGTGAATGGGAGATTCGTCTTTTTAGCCAGTACAGAGGTCAGCGCCAATTGGCGCTGACATATGATGATGTGGCTAGTTTGTGCCACCTCAGATGAGAGGTTAGCGCCAAAATTAATGGCGCTGAGATGTTGGACCTCAGCGCCATTGGGTGACGGCTCACTTTTAAAATAAGTTTTTGGCACGGACTATTTTTAGAATAAGTTTTTGTAAACGGTCAAATTGTCAAAATTACGGTATCTACCAACTGATGGATGACAAACAACCCGCAAAAATTATAGATTGTACATTATATTGTAGTACATATGCAAACCAGCTTGGTCACACCGATATCTTGGATTCATCTCCACATGTATAGAGCTCACATCAATATGTTTTACTCTTTGTAGATCTATCCTTGTGCACAGCATCAATACTAACGGCAATTAGTTTCTCTCCCTAATTAACTTTCTTTTACAGTTTTACCTTTGATGTACAGTATCTAGCAACGCAAATCTGATGATACTAGAAGGGTGCTTTACGTACACATCGCACATCACCTTAGGTCCTTAAACTCCCCCATCATGTCTTTACCTAAACTTAATTGCTCTTGATCCGCTGCAATTCATTATTATCTCTCAAAAATTCCTCAAGTCAAAACAAATAAACAAACCATAATCTCCACTAAGGCTACATCTCAAATTTAGGTTGAAATAATAAGAGGTAGACTACTTGATCATTTGCACAGATGTCAGTTGACTTCAAATTTACCATACACTACATATTATGAGGGCCTGTTTGGGGAAAGCTTTTGGCAGATGCAGTTTCTAGCAGAATCAAAAAAACTTCCCCCAAATATTCTAGCTTTTAGATTCTGAGAAGCTACTTTTCCCAGTTTCTCCATATTCTCACGAGCTGAATTTCTACCAGGTGTTCCTCAAACAGACCCTTAGTAAGTGACGTAGAAGAAAAGAGAATGCTAATTTAGCTAAGTTTATTAATAAAATATTAATATATGGTCTTTTATATACAAATGTACACCCTTTACTTCTAGAGCAACAACATATAGTTTGGAGGAGAGAGACTACTATAGCACACCGATTTCAAAGTAGTACATAAAGGCTGTGTTTAGTTGGATCCAAAGTTTGGATTTTGGTTGAAATTAGAGATGATGTGACTGAAAAATTGTGTATGTATGACAGGTTGATGTGATGAAAAAGGACTGAAGTTTGGATCCAAACTTTGTATCTAAACACAACCAAAGCATCAAATGACGTAGAGTAAAAAAATGTTTGCCCATTTGTCAGGTGAAGGTAGAGAATTTGATGTGAGAGATAAAGAAATATTTTCTTATCTTTTGTGGTCTCCACTACAAGATGTTTATACACACAAACACATTCTAAAAGTCTCATAAAAGGAACCTCCACCTTGATACCTCTTTTCCATATTACACGATACTAAGAGCATCACCAAGCGTTTTCAACAAGACTTTCTCGAGCATTTTGGCTTGTCTAGTTTTTGCAAGTGAGGAAGCTCATCTTTGGAGTTCAACCAACGCCAAGGTGTTCTCATTGATTATGAATCCCGGTTAAGTAGGCTTGTGAATTACGTTGTTGGGAGGGTCTTGTTGAGGTGCTTTATTCTTCTCTTTTGCTCTAGTTCTGTTTTTTTCTCTTTTTGTGTTTTGTGCTGGGAGAGGGGAGGGGCCGGTGGCTCATCTCCAAGATGGGGAGAGGTGGAGAGGTGAGATGGGTTGGGGCTGGAGGAAATTTATATTATTTTTTAGATTTTGAGGCGTCCAATTTAAAATTTTATAACTGCACATAAATTGAAAAAAATAAGACTAAAATATAAACTATCTAAGGGCTAATATTAAAAATTGAAACCATCTCCAAAACCATTTTGCATTGTGAGAAAAACCCATCTCAAATGTATAGCCTCAACCTATGTGGATGCCACATGGCATCGGATATCACTCCTGGATAAATTGCACAAACCACCCAATTGTCACTCTAATTTTGAGATTCCACCCCATAAGCCCATCACCAACACACATGAGTAGTTGATTCGGCCCATTCCTTCTGACATGGATTCGTAGCAGATCATATCAGCTAGGCCAGGCTCGTCTAGTGTGGCTATGAGTTGGGTTCAACTCGAGCTCATTCTTAGGCTAGTTAGAAGTATGAAGATGACCGTAAATGACGTGAGGGCTGAGCGTCTAGGCTATCGATGATAGTGATCAACAACAAGCTTGCATTGGAAGAAATGAGACAAATCAACTACTCATTACACAAAGGGGGCAATTTCAACCTGGTAGTGTTGGGTGTGTAGGCATTTACATCAAAAATAGGTTATGTAGTAGAATCTCAAACCTATAGTGACAATTACGGTGGTTTATGTAATTTTGCCTCAACACCTATTCATGCCTTAAGAGCAAGTATTGTGAGCCCCTACACACTTGCCCCCAAATGTCACATAGCAGCGGCAGACCCTGGAGGGGTGCCAGGTATGCACCGGCATACCTACAAAAATCTATAATTTTTTACTAGTAGTATGTAGTATGCATCAGGTGGGCCAAAACATTTTATGTGTGCCTTGCCAAACGAAAGCCCAAGATGTACAAGCCCAGAAGTTGCACGGCTAGAAGATGCCCATGTGCATCTATGCCCTGTTGGCTGGCAGCATGGCACTCACGCGTAGGGTTTGGCACTTCGTCGGACTAGCAGGCGTTGGCGGCGGCGCGGCGCGGTAGCGCGGCCCTCAGCATCAGCAGCCTCACGGCGAGTTTAGGCGTCGTGGGTCTCGTGGCTTTGTGACTGCACAGCAAGCTGGAGACGGAGGTTGCCAGCCACCGGCTAGACACTAGCTAGCGCCTCGGCGCATAGCGGCAGCGACAGCGGTGACTGCACGAGGAAGGCAACGACCACCGGCCAGGCCACCAAGGTCCGAGATATTTAACTATTTGTCATTTTTAGATGTGGCAATTAACTATTTGCCACTAGACCTATATGCTATAGACACATATAGATCTATATGTATTTGAGATAGGGGTGGCAAATAGTTAAATGTCAAACCTAAAAGTGGCAAATATTTAAATGCCCCGCAGGGTCCAGCTCTGGGCATCATCCGTCCATATTTAAGTATACTCGTTCACTATTATTAGCTTTTTTGTTTCTCTGATACTTTTCTTCTCTTAACAGAAAGAGAGAAAGGGAGAGAGATTGATTGAAGAATTGAAAACTTGAATGAATGAGTGAGAAATGTGAAATCGATGAGTTCGAACTTCTAAAATTGAATCCGCGTTTATGGGATTTTTACACTGAGATCAAGTTGAATCATTGGAAATATGAAGAGGAATTGTGGCATTTCTTTCTATAGCAAGGAACCATCAGCTTCACCTAGGCCATACCCGATGCTTCTTTCTTATAACTGAATGACTGATGGTGTTGGGAAATTTTAGAAGAGTGATTATCCCCTTATGGGAAACTTAAGGACAGGGATGAAGACTAAAAATGAGTTGTAATCGGTG